CAGGGCAGCTCTGAAGCAGTGCCTGAGACAACACCTTCTGTGGGGTCCTCATTTGTCTCAAATTATAAGATGGACAGAGCAGTCTAGACAGATGCTGAGGCAAAGGGGACAAAGCCTTGACCTGGGTCAAACCCAGGGTGTTCCCTGCAGCTGCTAAGCTTGTGTTTTATGCAGCATCTGGCTCCCCTTCCTTCTAGGAATTCTCAAAACATGTTTTTCACTTTATTTTACGGAGACCGGATCTCACTGTGTAGCTTTCCACGCCCTGGAACTTTCTATGTAAATCAGACTGGTCTGGAACTCAGAGAGATCCACCTGCCTCTGCCCTCTCAGGTGTTGGGATTAAAGGTGTGCACCACCACACCTGGAAAAAGATGTTTTAAAGGGTGTAAACAATAAACTTTACTCCTAATGAGTCACAGAAAAGGTTGTCCTCCAACCCAACATCACCAACGCTGCCTCCTCAGCATTTGGGCTGTTGGCACAACCTGCTGGAGGCTGGAGAGATAACTCCAGGGCCAAGGTACTTAAATAATACCTGGCAGTCTCACGGGGCAGATGCAGAACGTGAAGTCCCCTTTGTCCCTATTCGGGCTAACATTCCATCCCTGGCCCCCACCGAATCATGGTCACTGGATGCTGTTCTCTCAGCTCACAGCCATCTCCTTCCCCCCCCCTTTTTTTCTTTTCTGTGAACTATTAAGCACACCCATCAGGGTACTCTGTGCATATTGGAAAAGCAGCGGTTTTTTCCCCCTAAACCCTTCTTGGGTGCACTTTCTCAGAGGCCAGAGAGATGAGAGAATTTCAGCTGTGTGTCCCCAAGAAGGTGATGTTGTCTCTCTGAGCCTCAGCTTTCCCCATCTGGAAACACAGGGCACTATATATAAGGCTCTACCAGGACTTTCCACCTCTTCCGTTACATGGTGGAGGCAGCCATTGTGGAAATGCACAGGAGGGTGTATGGCCATGTGCCCACTGAGAAACTCTGGCAACCCATGAAAGGATAAGGGATGGGGGAGTGAGCCTGGGGAGCCTAGGCCATTACTAGGAATACTATCCCCTCCCTCCCAGGCCTTCCAGAGTATGGGGGAAATGCTCTCACTTGCCAACAGAGCTAGCTGCGACCTCAGAAGCTCTGACAAGGTCTGGAGTTCCCATCCTTGGACAGTGCCATGTCATCTAGGGATCGGGCACCCCACACCAGCCCAGAAATGTCACCAGGAAGCACGAAGGAGAATCTCTAGCACATGTCATCCATATGCCCAATCCAGCAAAAACAAAGAGCAGCCAAGCCAGTGGCCACAAGCCAGAGAGCAGAGCAAGAATCGAAGCAGAGCCACCAGTGAGCATGTGTTGACGGGAGTCACTGTGGCACAATGTGCAAGGCTATTGGGGGCTGGGATGCCAAGGACGGGGTCTTAGTGGACAGAAAATGACAGATAGGTGCATAACACAGTATTGCACATGCTGTCACAGAGGAAATGAGTCCATGTTTGCTGTGTCAGTGGACTGAAAGTGCTTTGATTTAAATGATCTTACAGTCTGGTAAATTTAAAATAACCAGAAATGTCTGCAACTTTAACCACTCAGAAATGAAGTAATACAGTCCTACTGACCATTTGTTTAAAGCAGGAATTCCAATTTGCTTCTAGAAAGCCATGGAAATGGACAGCCAGGGTCCCAGAACTGGGTGGAAACACATAGAAAGGATGCTATATCCATCATTCTTTTTTCTTTAAATTAAAGCTTTATTTATTTAGTATGCATACAGTATTCTTCATGCAGGCCAGAAGAGGGCGCCAGATATCATTACAGATGGTTGTGAGCCACCATGTGGTTGCTGGGAATTGAACCCAGGTCCTCTGGAAGAGTAGCCAGTGCTCTTAACCCCTGAGCCATCTCTCCAGCCCCTTCTTTCTTCTTCTTCTTCTTCTTCTTCTTCTTCTTCTTCTTCTTCTTCTTCTTCTTCTTCTTCTTCTTCTTCTTCTTCTTCTTCTTCTTCTTCTTCTTCTTCTTCTTCTTCTTCTTCTTCTTCTTCTTCATTTTTTCAAGACAGGGTTTCTCTGTAGCTTTGGAGCCTGTCTTGGAACTAGCTCTTGTAGACCAGGCTTGCCTCAAACTCACAGAGATTCACCTGCCTCTGCCTCCTGAGTGCTGGGATTAAAGGTATGTGTCACCACCACCTAGCCCTATATCTATTTTAAGAAATTAAATTGGCTAGGAGGTGGTGGCACACACCTTTAATTCAGGAGGCAACGACAGGCAGATCTCTAAATTCAAGGCCAGCCTGGTCTACAGAGTAAGTTCCAGGACAGCCAGGGTTTTTACACAGAGAAACCCTGTCTCAAAAAAACAAAAGAAAGAGAGAGAGAGAGAGAGAGAGAGAGAGAGAGAGAGAGAGAGAGAGAGAGAAAGAGAGAAGAGAAGAGCTAGGTGTGGTAGTGCACACCTTTATTCCCAGAACCCAAGAGGTAGAGACAGGTGAATCTCTGTGAGTTCGAGGCCAGCCTGATCTACATAGTGAGTTCCAGCACAATCAGAGTTACATGGTAAGACCTCATCTCAAAAAAAAAAAAAAACAAAAACAAACAAAAACAAAAAAGGGAAATCGATTGGGAGCAATAAGATCCATCAAGAAAACGAGAGGACTGTGAGGGTAAAAGGAAAGCAATGTAGCAGGAAACAAGAGGCAAAGTGATTGCTTCTTCCTGAAACCAACTATCTTTGCCAGAAAGCCCAGTACAGGACGACCATCACTGTCCAGGACTTGCTAAATGTTGACATTTCGATCCGCATACAATCAGGGATAAGAAGGGAGTCATGAAGAGCGAAGACTCCAGACTGGATCACAATGTCAGAGCTCAGAAACATAGAGCTTTTAGGAAACCCGCAGCACACAGGTGATCAGTTCTCTGTGGATTCAAACAGCCAGAGTCACAGCATCAGGAAAACACAGCCGGACAAGACACTGGAAAGGCTCTTAGAAATGGTCGCCCAGGAAGCCCTGGAGAAGCAGATGCTCATGCTGGCCAGGTCTGACTCCACTCAGAGCTGGAAGTCAGCCTGGCATCACTCCAGTCCTTCCCATGCATGAAAAGATGGAAAATCTGCAGCTCAACTCATGACTCCACTGTCACTTAATACAGAAACGCTTCATGGAGAAAAAGAGAAAACCAGATCGGCCTCACTTTTAAATGAAGATGCAAAAACAACCAAACTGAAAACAGTGACGTCTGCAGAATCTTGCGTAAGACCGCTTAGAGCAGGGCCGACTCTGCCACCACCTCAGATCACTCCACCAAACATAAGCTTAGAAACTTTAGAGAGACGAGTCAATATGCCCCAAAATAGGTTTGATCAACTAGCCATTATTATTAACAATAAAATTAACAACAACAAAAGCCCTAGAGGTTCCTGCCACGGTTGGTGTATGAAATGTCCCTCACAGGTACATGCATCAAAGGGTCGGCCTGCAGCTGTGGTCCCACTTTGGAACATGGTCCAGGCATCTAAGAAGGTGGGCCCAGCTGGAGGATGGGTCACCGGGGATGTGCCTTGTCCTGGACCCTTCCTGGACCACTTCCTCTCTCCTGGATGCTGTGAGGTGAGAAGCACCACCGTGCCTCAGCAGAAGACCACAGTGAGGGAACCAGACAAACTTAGACTTGAACCCCTCCACTGTGAGCCAAAACGAACCTGTACTCCTTTTTAACTTTCTTTCAGGTGTGTGTCACATGACAAAAAAATTCTGAAACAGCTGTGTACCCTTGGGTGGCCAGGACAGCAGTGCCGAGCACTTTCTTAGATGTTCTGGCAAGTGCAGTAGGATAAAAACAAATGACACGAACATAGGAAAGCGTAGAGAATAATGATTGCAAATCTAGAAACTAAAAATTTTATTAAAAAAAAAAAACCTAAAACTCAAAGGCCCCTGAGAACACTGCTACCAAGCCTGAAGACCTGAGTTTAAGCCTTGGGATCCACATGAGGGAAGAGGACAGTGCCTTACTCCATAAATTAAAATGAAGTAAAAAGTTTTAATTTAAGAAATAGTTACTAGGGGGGGCTGGAGAGATGGCTCAGCGGTTAAAAGCACTGCCTGCTCTTCCAAAGATCCTGAGTTCAATTCCCAGCAACCACATGGTGGCTCACAACCATCTGTAATGAGATCTGGTGCCCTCTTCCGGTCTGCAGGCATACATGCAGACAGAATACTGAGAATACTGTACACATAATAAATAAAAAAATTCTTTAATAAAAAAAATAAATAGTTACTGAATGATAGAGGCACACACCTTTAATCCCAGCACTTGGAAAACAGAAGCAGGAAGATGTCTATGAGTTCGAGGCCAGCCTGGTCTACAGAGCAAGTTCCGGGACAGCCAGAGATACACAGAGAAACCCTGTCTTGAAAAAAAGAAAAAAAAAGAAATAGTGTACCGTTAGTCCCAGCACTTGGAGTCAGACAGAGGCAGGTGGATCTCTAAGTTCAAGTCTCACCTGGTCTACAGAGCAAGTTTTAGGCCAGCCAGAGCTATATCATAAGACCCTACCTTAAGAAAAAAAATTTAAAACCATTATGAAATTAATGCAAAATAAATATTATATATATATGATATATATTCCTTCTATTATTAAGTACTATCCTGGTTTGCTTTCTGTTGTGATAAATACTATAACCAAAAGCAACTTGGGAAGCAAAGGGTTAATTTCATCTTAGAGTTCATAGTCACGTAGGAAGTCAGGGTAGGGATGGGAACCTGGCAGCAGGAATTGGAGCAGAACCACGGAAGAATGCTGCCTACAGGCTTCCTCTCCACGGTGGTATCAGCTTGCTTTTGTACACAACCCAGAATGACTTGCCCACACATGTCACTCACTAATAAGGAAAATGCGTGCTGGAGACATTTCCTCAGCTGAAATCCCCTCCCAGATCACCCCAGACTGTGAAAAGCACAGAGCAAGGAACCCTGCAGCATAGACAGAGCAAGGGGCAGCAGAGAGCTAGGACCTGCTACAAACAGCTCAGACAGGCCACGTCCAAAAGGCCAGACCGACTTCTCCCCATCACGGTTGCTCGGTCCTACAGGTGCATAGCTACCTTGTAAAAATGCCTGTTAGCAGCCCTTGGTTATGGGGTGGGGTGGGGGGCAGAGAGGAAGGCAGCCAGACCACACTCTATAGCAAGGTCACAGAAGTAGCCCTGTGATCAGAACAGCGTGGCCTGACTGCTGGGGACAGAAACAACGCCCCACGTGTGAGGAGGTTTCTATTTCAGGAGAGTTAGCAGCAAGCAGTCTTCTCCAGACAAGAAAGCACGTGGAATCCTTTGACAAGAAAGATGGAGATTTGGCATGAGGAGAGCCATGAAGTCAGTGCAGGTCACACAGACAGGTAAGCCAAGGAGATCCAGCATGTTCTTGGGTGGCACTGACTCCCTCCTGGAGAAGGAACGGTGGCTGCTGGTCACTTCGGCACCTGAGATTCCATGGATGGATGAACAGGAAAGCCAGTAAGTATCTCTGTCCCTTTTCCATGTTTTCTCCCCACACAGTGGCCCCTGAACATGTATGACCGCTGTCCAGGGACACTGGGAACTGTGCTGAAGAAGTGCCAGGGAGTAGGGCTGGAGAAATGGCTCAGGGTTAAGAACAACAGATGCTCTTCCAGACGACCTGAGTTCAGTTCCCCGCACCGCACACTTGAGCAGCTCACAACTGTCTATAATTCCAGCTCCAGGGGATCTGACAATCTCATTTGGCTTTTATGGGCACCAGCACACACACATACACATAAATAAATAAAAACGAAAATAATGGTTTGTCAAAAGAATTTGTGTTGGGAAGATTGATCAGTTGATGGGGGAGAGTCTTTTGTTTTGTGTTGATTTCATTGGTTAAATAAAGAGACTGCCTTGGCCCTTTAATAGGACAGAAAATTAGGTAGGCGGAGTAAACAGAACAGAATGCTGGGAGAAAGAAGCCGAGTCAGGCAGTCGCCATGATTCTCCCACCCGACACAGACACAGGTTAAGATCTTTCCTGGTAAGCCACACCTCGTGGGGCTACACAGATTATTAAAAATGGGTTAATTGAAAGTTGGGCAGTGGTGGCGCACACCTTTAATCCCAGCACTCGGGAGGCAGAGGCAGGCGGATCTCTGTGAGTTCGAGGCCAGCCTGGTCTAGAAGAGCTAGTTCCAGGACAGGAACCAAAAAAGCTACGGAGAAACCCTGTCTCGAAAATTTAAAAAAAAAAAATGGGTTAATCGAGATGCGAGAGTTAGCCAATAAGAGGCTGGAACTAATGGGCCGGGCAGTGTTCAAAAGAATACAGTTTCTGTGTAATTATTTTGGGGCATAAGCTAGCCAGGCAGCCGGGAGCTGGGGCAGCAGGGAAGCGGCCCCGTCCGTCGCTCCTTACAACACTCAGTGGTTAAGAACACTTGCTGCCCTTACAGAAGATTGGGGTTTAAATTCCAGAACTCATGTTGGGTGGTTCACAACTGCCTGTAACTCTAGCTCCAAGGTATCTGACTCCCTTTCCTGGCCTCCACGAGACTTCACACTCACGTGCACATACTCACACTGACTACACAAATGCATCATCTTTAAAATTTAAAAAAGGGGGGGGGGTTACCACATGGCACCACGTGCTGGCTCATGTTGAGTTCTCTGTAGGAGCCCAGGCCTTTCACGAGCCTGGGAGCCACGGGGGTCCAGGCTCTGCTACCCACACCCAGACTGCCCCACTCTCCACAAAGCTCAGAATCTCAAGAGCTTAGGAATGGCAAAGTTGGAGTTAAGACAGTTGAAAAACTTGCTGTGAGGGAAGGGAGTGACGGGCAGGTGATATGGGGGTGACAGGCGATAGAGGAAAAGCAGAAGCAGACTGCTTATTAGATAAACTGCAGGATGGCTGCGCAAGCGAGACAGGAGAGAGACACTGTCAGGCTTTGAGGAAGGCTGTTATTATGGACGGCAGCCCATCGGGCAGTTTTAGTGTCTCAATGCAATGGAACAGTCACAGTTAGAACTTACTGCGGTTAGCAACATCCTAGCCTTGAGGCAACCACAGTTTTGTCCTGAGGAAAAACGGCTTAAAAATGGCTCACCATCCTAAACCAGCATCCACAAAATGGTGTTTGGTTGTCATAAATAAATACTTCTCAGAGGAATGGAGCAAGTAAATGGCCCTCAATGGATTTCCTGGGGTTTGTCTGAGACCTGGCTCTCAGGAAAGGTGCTGGGAGAGCTGAAGGTTGAGCTGGGGGAGGCCCTAACCGTGGAGGACAGGGTGGGTGGCACCAGGAGCCTGGGCTGCCAGCGTTGAACGACCCCAAAGGCCCCCAGACTTCTGGCGTGGGCAGGGCTTGGCTCCGCAGCCCAATGATGCTTCCAGCTCTGAGCTTCTCTCCTTTCGTGACCTTATCAGCCTTCTGGGATGTGTAAACCATGAGCTAACTGTGTGGGAATGCACTTTCCGCTGGCTGCCCCTTCGGAGCCTGCTGGTCCCCATCAGCACAGAGCTGACCTCCACCTCTGTCTACTCCCAGTTTTCCACTGAGAAGCCCAGGGACACAGAGCGACAGGCCAGGTGTGACTAGTCACTTGTTACATTCTCCCATGACTGGGGTACAGCAGGGTACCTCTGCTCAGAAGGGCCTTCGTCCCTGCTTCGTGCCTGCTTTTGTGGTGAGGAATCAGGGACCCTCAGATCCCTAGGGTAGGGTGGAGCTTTGCCTGGCTAAGTGCCTGTAGCTCAGACAGAGATGCCCTCTTACTTAAGCGGGGACCACAGCGTCACTGTCCAACATCAGTGTGTCTGGACTGGGTCTCGGTCCCGGGGATGCTGGGCTCTCTGCTCTGCTGCCCGGACAGGGATTAGGCATTTCCTGCCAAGGTCATGGAAGACCCTCAGCCTGGGCTCGCCCTTTGAACAGGGTGGCCTGGACCCTGCAGAACTAGAAGGGCTGTATTTGCCTCTCTTGTATGGCTTCCACAGTGACACCAAATTTGGGGGGCAACATGTGGACCTTTTCTAAAGCCAGCTGTGCAGCATAAATGCCACCCCTTCACAGTGAGCAACTCAACGGCATGTCAGCACATTTGTAGTCTCAAGGAGAGCCCTCTTTTCACCCCAAGAAGAGACTCCCCACTCGAGCGGCTGCTTCTGCTGTGGTAGGAACATGTGTCCCTACCTGTACTGCTGCCATGCGTGGTGGTTATCGCCTAGGGGTGGGCCATCCTATCTTGCATCCTATGGTCACCTGCACTGGGATCATGTGATCCAGCTGCCATTCCCTTATGAGAGGAGGATGTGCTGGCTGGTTTCTGTCAACTCCACACAAACCACAGTCATTTGGGAAGAGGGAACTTTAACTGAGAACACACACCCACCAGATTGGCCCATGGGCCAGCCTGTGGTGCGGTTTGTTTACTGGTAGTTGATGTGGAGGGTCACTGTGGATAGTGCCGCTCTGCGCTGGTGGTCCTGAGAGCTACGATAAAGCAGGCTGAGCAAGCCAGGAAACAGCAAGCCTTCTGCTTCAGGGCCTGCTTCCAGGTTCCGGCCCCGATTCCCCGAGATATGGACGTGTAAGTGAAATAAAACGCTTTCCTTCCCAAGTTGCTTTTTAGCCATGGTGTTTTATCATAGCAATAGAAAGCCCAATGAAGACAGAGGGGGAGGGCTGTCTTCCCCTCCCCTTCCAATCACTAATTTCTACTGTATGAGGTCAATAGCTGGGTGGGGTCGAACAGTAGTGTAGCCACCTGCAAGTTACTCAAGTGTTTACGTGTAACCCCTAGGGAACTTACTGACGCACTGAACTGGGTCTAGATGGAATTCTCTCTTTAGTCTGTCAAGGCCTCCCTATGTGAATAATAGGCATCTCTAAGTCTTCCCAGGACATGTGCTGTAACCGAATGCCGGAGGTTGATTACTTAGCAGTAACTCAGCTTTTCACAGTGCTAGAGGTAGGAGTCCCAAACACAAGCATCCGCAGGTGCTGCCTCTTTCTTGTGACTGTGGCCTGCACCATGTGTCCTCACTTGGCAGGAGAGACAGCGTGCCCAGTGTTAGGGATCCAGCTCACCCCTTACGTGTGCTAGATGCCACGCTACCGTAGAGCCCTCCTCCCAGCCCCACGGCCTTACTGTATGAACATTAACCCTTTCAGAAGGGAAGCCCTCACCTACTCACCTCTTAACAATAGTAACATTATAATGAGTTTACCAAGTTATAGAGAAATCCTTTGTTGCTTTCAGTGGCATCGTCAGACCAATGCATTGGCTTAGAGTGAAGCTATGTCGCTACTGAAAAGCTTCTGCCCCCCCCCCCCATAAGCCTCACTGCTAACGCAGCAATCCAAAGCAGACCAATCAAACTGAATTAGAAAAAGTCCAAGTTTAATGGACTCAATGCTCCCAGATGATTTTCCAGCCCCCCAGAGAAGAGACAGGAAAGGAAAATGGAAAAACCACCTGTCTGTTTTCTAAATACCCTGTGGGAGTCGCCTTGAGCATCTGTTGGGGAGGGGGCCTTTATTTGGTGGACTTTTGGAGAGAGATGGGGGAGGGGGTTTGGGTGGAACTTCCACATGAACATTCCAGACTCTTGGGATGCCAGGAGCTGGGGTGAAGCTTCCACCAAACATCCCAGACCCTTTTGGTATATGGATGCGGGGCCGAGGTGAAGCTTCCAGCAGAACAGCTGTGTGTCATCAAAGCAGCGTATCACTGTATCATATGAGCAAAATGTCTGTCTATTGTGGGGACCAGTGTCCCACAGCAGCCCAACAGGATTTCCCCTACAGCTCTGGCTTACTACACTTGTTCCCAGTTTATACATTCTAGTGCTGTTGTCGACTGGGCCTTTCATTATGGCTTTTATTAATGTAAGTATTTGACTCTGAAAGGGTCCCCGAATATTAACTCTCGGCACAACTACCTTGCTGAATTCACTGGGCCTCTCATAGCTTTCCTGGGGCCTACCTGAAGCCTTAACGGGTGTGTTGAGCTTGTGTCCAGGTGTGTGTATGTGTGTGTGTGTGTGTGTGTGTGTGTGTGTGTGTGTGTGTGGTGTGTGCACTGAACCTCTCTGGTTAATCACTGGCTGAGACTTGACTACCCAGCACTGGATTTCTCTCTCAATACCACCCAAGCTGGGCTCTGGGCATGGTTCCTGGGGCCTGTGGATGGTGGACTGGCTATGGGTGGACAAGGGACCCCTGGCTGAGTTCCCAGGGAAGAAGCCATACTCCACACATCTGAATGCAGTCTATCTGGCTGGGTGAGACCTGGGCACATAAGTACTGCATGGTGGCACTTCAGCTGGGCCTCTGAAGCTGTGCCTAGGGCACGCCTGTGAGCCTGTTTCTCATTTGACAAGGGGTAGCTGTTGTGCTAGAGCTGGAGCTTGGGGAAGGCATGGTGCCTGGTACTGGGGTTACAGTGTGTACTGGGAACGAAGACCTAAGTAGGGAGCCAGCACCTAGTACCTACCATCCTGAAGCCTGATCAGAGCAATTCAGTGTCCTCACATGTCGTGCTGCTGGGACAGTGGCCTCAGATATGAGGTAGTGGGGCAGGGGGCACAAGCCATCTGGAGTTGCGTGGCCCATCTTTTCCAGGACCAGGCCTTTCTCGTATGACTGTCCTCACTCACTCCAATGCTCCACCCATAGGTGCCTGCCAGGGCCCTTACCGTGCCCCACCCAGCGGTCCTACATGGGCATCTCCCACAGCAAATCTACTTCAGTCCTGAGAGGCA